CCCTTGACCAGAATCAAACCCGGGATATTTCAGTCCTCAGTTCCAGGCTCTATCCACTGAGCCAAACCAGCTAGGACTAAAGTATGTTTTAATATAAGGGTAGGTCTAGTCCCTTTCATTCTGCTGTTCCAGTTATTTTCCAGGTTATTTTCACAAGATTAGTTTTCAAATGAACTTTAGTATAATTTTGAGATTTTGTTGAACTTAATAAATTAATTTGAGAGCAATGCCATCTTAGCAATGTCATGACATAAAGATGCCATCTTTTTTGAGCACGAGGTTCTTGCACCTTTGTTCTCAGATAAGATTATGAAGTTTTCCTCACTGAGCAGGAGTTGAGTAGGCCTGTGTAAACTGTGGCTGGTGACTAAAAAAAGATATGACAGAGACCTATACTTGGGCCCTTACCTGGGCCAGGTACCCTGCTGCCGGCGAGGATGAGGATGACATAGTAACAAAAGTTGGAGCTCGGTTAAGGGGGAGGTCCCTCCCAAGACCAGTGACCACTGGGTGGGCAAGTGAGGTGTTTGGTAGAGACTCGCAGGAGAGATGGGGCCTTAGGCTCTGCCAGATCATAGAAGGCCACTGGAGAGAGGAAATGACACGCGTTTAGAATGAGCAGTCTCCCAGGTAGATGGGGAAGAGGAGTAGCCAGGGGAGGAATAAGAATCAAAGAGGTTAGTCAAAGCACAATCCAGAAGACAGAACCAATGGTTACTGTGTTTGTGATGTGTCTCAGGAATTTCTGAAACATTCATGTCCACATCTGCCCTGCCGCATTCTAGGATTTCATTAGAGTTTCAAAAATTAGGAGCTGCCATGCCCAGCCAGCGTGGCTCAGTGGTTGAGGGTCAACTTATGAACCAGGAGGTCAAGGTTCAATTCCTGGTCAAGGCACATGCCCGGGTTGTGGGCTTGATTCCCAGTGTGGGATGTGCAGGAGGCAGCTGATTAATGATTCTCTCTCATCATTGATGTTTCTATCTCTCTCTTCTCCCTTCTTCTCTGAAATCAAGAAAGGTATATTTTTAGCCCTGACCGGTTTGGCTCAGTGGCTAGAGCGTCGGCCTGTGGACTGAAGAGTCCCAGGTTCGATTCTGGTCAAGGGCATGTACCTTGTTTGCGGGCACATCCCCAGTAGGGGGTTTGCAGGAGGCAGCTGATGGATGTTTCTCTCTCATGGATGTTTCTAACTCTCTATCCCTCACCCTTCCTCTCTGTAAAAAATCAATAAAATATATTTTTTTTAAAAAAAGAAAGGTCTATTTTTAAAAATTAGGAGCTACCATTTCCTCTTATCACTTTCACCCTGTTCCTGCAGCTTGCACAGTGTGGACTTCGAAGCCCCGTGTTCTTTGTATTCCCTGGTGAGAATCGATGCTGCTTTGGCGTTTCTCTGCTCAGCAATGAAGTGTGTGGTCCACCTTTCCCAGGGCCAAACGCCTCCATTTTCCAGATAAGAATTTCAATTGTTAATTTCATTGGGAAAAGGCAGGTAAACACTTAAAGGAAATGCACAGTAAATATTTTTCTACTTCACAGAAGAGCAGAGACTGGCATTAAGCATCTAAAGAAATGCACAGGATGCCTGTGACTCTATCAGAAGGGGATAGTTCAAACAACTTTCTGCGGAATATCTGTGAAACGGTGACGTACAAATCCAGCCTCCAGGTCCCAGCACCAGCAGTAGTTCATGAACCGGACAAAACAAGCCCTTAGGAAGTCCCCCAGCAGGATGGTGATGTACGTTACCAGCATGTCGGACACCGTCAACCTCACGAATTCCTGCAAGGGGGAACACAGAGGAAGGGCTGGTCAGGGTTGGCCCTTGCCCACCTCTCCCAACTGACTGCAGCCATGCACACTCTCCCCCACCCACCTGCATTCTTCTCTGTAATCCTCTGAATTTGGGGGCACAGTGGTGGTGGTGCAGAGCAAAGATCAGGCTCTGAAACATTCTTACATAGGTCTGAGCTCTATAATTACTAATTGTATTGCTTTGAAATAGTCTCTGAACCTCTTGAAGTTAATATTAACCTTGCAGGGTTAATGGGGAGCTTAGTGATTATGTATGCAAATTGCCTGGCACACTGGTAATGCCCAATGCTTGGCAGTTATCAGCACTATTGCACAGATACAGGATCTGAAAGCTTGCCCCTTACTTTCCCCACCTGCTCTGAAATACCAACTGCCCCAGCTAAGACTGAATCTGATCATTGTCACCAGGGACAACAGCTGGTTTTCTTTACCTCTGGCTAAAGATTTTTTCTGGTTATATAGAGAAAATAATGCTGGTTTTTCACAGAGGCACATAGCAAAAGAGGCAAAAACGTATTACTTTTGGGGGGAAATTTAAAGATCTACCAGATAATATCACAAACTTTAAGACATCTAGTGGACTTGGAATTCCTAGAAAGTACAGGGTCTGCTTTATTCATTTTTATATCCTCCAAATTGATTAATAAATTTTTGCTGGATGAACAGCTGATGAATTTTCAGGGTTATTCCTCAGTAAGAATTCAGGTTTATGTTTAAGTAATAGACAACCCAGCATGTATCAGGTCTCCACTCTGTGCAAAGTGATGCTCTGGGGTCCAGGCTGGAGGTGGTGGAGGACATAATGCCTCAAACCCATCATCATCAACTAGCTCAGAAAGATACAAACTTTTATTACTGATGGGAACAGTGATGGGCATTAAGGGAGGAGGGCAAGAGAGACACCCCCCAAGGATGTGGGGCAGGAAATGAGAGACTATATAGCAGAATATTTTAAAAGAATCATGTAGGTAACGAACTCTGTATGGCCTTCTAAAGAGGATTGGTTTTATTGACTTGAAGATTCTTTCTCTGTTACATATTGTGATGAGTTGAATGCAGGAGCTGGGGAAGCTCAGTGGCTCTACACCTTGAAGATGAGGAAGATTTGAAGAACATGGGAATCTGGACTGGAGGAGGAAGAGATGGTGAGTCTGAGCTCTCCATGAAGGAGGTGGGAAGAAAAGGCCCTCAGGACCTCCATGGGCAAGAACAGATCTTTTTCCCTGTGGGATTTGCAGGTGGTGAACTTGTAAGCAGTATTCAATGGAATGTGTGTTGTAATTCCCTCTTTCGTTGTACTTCATCACCCTCAATTAATAACACGGTTGTTTGATGCTCTATGTGAGTGGATTCTTCAGGGGACCCAGGGAAAAGTAATAAACTCTGCATCTCAGTGGGGTGGCTGATGGAGAGAAACCCCATGCAGAGAGATGGAATTGAGGAAGAGAAGGCAGCTGACCTGTGTGACTTGTGAATATTTTAAGTTCTGCCAAGAACACTAGGCTTTAAAGTCTGCCCTGTTCAAGTTACAGGAATGGTGGTAAAAGTGGATAAAGGGAAATGGCAGTTGTTAATTTTTGAGTTTCTAATAAAAACCATTAATTCTCTTTACAGAAAAATGCACAGATGCACATACACACAAATTCCTGAATCCAATTTTTAGGAGTCTTTGTTCTCCAGGTGGAGAAACTTGCAGTGAAATCTACAGTAAAACTCTAAATAAAGTAAAAAATTAGATTAATGAATGAAGCATATAGAGAAATATATGGATATTGAAAAAATGGGAAAGGGAAAAAGTAGAACTTTCCTAAGAAATACTTGCTGGACATTTTGGTGGCTTAAAAATGGAAACATCAAGAAAAGAATAAAAATAATTGAGGACAGGGATGACTTTTCAGGAGAGCACAGCTACTCACAATGCCCACGGCTGTCTCCCAGCAAGAGCCGCGGGGCACGTCAGCAGGGTGCAGGGGTGGCCGGGGGGCACTCTCGTTCCAACCCGAGGAGTTGTAATAGTTAAACAGAGTCCAGTGAGTGATGTTCTTTATTGTCTCTTCATTAGAGAGCTGGAACAGAAGATGGAGATGCGGGGTTGGAAGGAACCAGGGATGGCCCAACTGTTTCCACAGGAACAACAACTAAAGCCAGCACATGCCACAACCTTACCACCTCATATCTGCCCTACCCCTCAGTGGAGTCCCCCAAATCTAAACAGAAGAAGGGGCAATTGACCAAAGTCCTTGGGTCTTTTCCATCCATCCATCCATCCATCCAATCATTCATTCTTCTTTTGAGAATAATTGATTCAGGGTCTATTCTGGACATATGAGGCAGTGGTGACACAGAAGTGAACAAGAGATGGAGCATTCCTCAGAAAGTTCACAGTCTCATAAGTGACAGAGATGAACAAACAGTTATAGAATCTATACTAATAAAAGGGTAATATGCTAATTAGGCTGGGAGACCTTCCGGGGGACCTTCTGGACATCCTTCTGGACAAAACCATGGTGGTGGGGCTGAGGCAGAGGCAGTTAGGGGCGATCAGGCCAGGAGGGGAAGGCAGTTGGGGGTGATCAGGCCGGTGGTGGGGGCAGTTGGGGGCAAGCAGGCAGGTAGGTGAGTGGTTAGGAGCCAGCAGTCCTGGATTGCGAGAAGGATGTCTGACTGCTGGTGGGATTGGGCCTAAACCGGCAGTCGGACATCCCCCGAGGGGTCCCAGATTGGAGAGGGTACAGGCCTGGCTGAGGGACATCCACCCTGTGCATGAATTTTGTGCACTGGGCCACTAGTCCTATATAATAAAAGCCTAATATCTTAAGTGTCCAGTAGTCTGGTCATCCGTTCAACCAATCAAAGTGTAATATGCTAATGATATGCTAAGGCCGCTCAACTGCTCGCTATGACATGCACTGACCACCAGGGGGCAGATGCTCTGACTGGTAGGTTAGCTTGCTGCTGGGGTTCAGCTGATAGGGACTGAGCAAGATGGGCTGGACAAACCCTGGACCCCTCCTGCAGTCCCTCCCCAGCTGGCCAACCTCCTGCATCCCTCCCTGGCCCTGATTGTGCACCGGTGGGGTCCCTCAGCCTGGCCTGCACCCTCTCGCAATCCAGGACCCTTTGGGGGATGTCAGAGTGCTGCTTTCAGCCCGATCCCACAGGCCAGGCCGAGGGGCCCCACTGGTGCAAGGATTTGCGCACCAGGCCTCTAGTAGAGTGATAAGAGCTATGGAAAATTTTCTCTGAGGATCGAGAAAGTTCACATCAGACAATGGCAGCCAGAGAAGACTTCCTGGGGAGGCAAAGAGATCTGAGCCTAAACCTCAGGGAGGATTAGTCAACTAGTCAAACATGGGGAGAAGGGTGGAGAGAGAGAAGTTTGCTCTGAGGAGGAAATGTGAGGTTTAGGAGGGTGGAGCAGTCTATTGGAGTAGGAGGGAAGCCAGAGGTGAGGATGGAGTGATGGGCAAGGGCCACATTCAATTACTTCCATGCTTAGAACCTTCTTATAGCTTCCCTGTTAACCTCAGGAAAAAATTCATGCAGCTCAACAATGAGGAGGGAGGAGCCTCATCATCTGGGCCTTCCCCAGTTTCATTTTTCACTTCTCCCCCTCCACTCTGTTCAGCCTTCCTGCAGTTCTCTATTTGCACCAGCTGTTCCCTCTGCTTTTTCCAGTCTCTGCTAAGATTCCTCAGGGGGTGCTGGAGTCCCTCCTATGCACTGCAGTGCTGCCCTGGGCTTGCCTCAGTGAAGCATACCCTGCAGCATGCTGTAATGGATGAGTCTGTCTCCTGGCCCAGAGTGTGAACACCCTTGGAACAGGGCTGTGTTTCACTCTCTGCTGTTCCCTGAGGACCTGACGCAGAGGGCTCCATAACCATTCGGTGAGCAATGATGAAGGTTAAGTCAATTATGACATATCATCTCAGCAGACACTTACTTGGCTGGTAAACACTTACGGCAGCTATGAAACCATATGGGAAAGGCTGCAGATAAAATATTGAGTACCAATTGACGTTCAAAATGTGAAAAAAGACAACCTAAGAAAAAGACAGCAAAGAACTGCAGCAAAATGGTTAATGGTGGTTGTTTTGGGTCATATTCTGGGATATTTGTTGTTCATTTTATTTTTCTGAGCTTTCCAAAATTTACTTAACTGATATGACTCATGCATCAGAAGAGTATTATATCTAAACAAGGAAATTTGGTGGGCACCAGGAACTGGGGGGAGTTTGTGGTCTTTACCTTGAGGTGGACGTCATCCATCAGGGCCAAGAGGAACGTGTAGAGATTCCCCAGGAAGAGTGCAAAGATACGTCCCAGCTGCCACTTCAGCCCAATGCGTGGGTGGTAGTTCTCCAGGGCAGCGATTGTTTCAAACAGAGGGGGACAAAACATCCCAAGCAGGGACATCACAATTTCAACCTGAGAGATCAGCAAAGCCTGGGTTACTTGCCTCATCAACATCACTTGGTTGGTCACCATCTCTGCACCCCGAGGGTCCTGCATCTCCCTCTCCTTGTTGTCCCCTCTTCTGCCTCTGGAGATGCCCTGGGGTCTCCACAACTTGCTGTGTGACCCTGGCGAAGGCACCAACATGCCCTGAGCAGTTAGCATATGTCCCACACATCAGAATTGCTCTGCAACTGGTTGCCATCATGATTGTTGCTTATTAGTATTGATTAAAAAAAAAGGGGGTAAACTTTTTTTGAGAAGTAAATGAGTTAACCTATGGGACACTGCTTTGGGTTCTGTAAAGCTGTGAACTAGGTAAGAGTCACCGTGATAGCTGACATCATTTCAGGAGACTGGAAGACAGGAAGCTTATGATTCTGAGCTTAGCTAGATGGTTCTGCTGTCTCACCTGGATTCATTCATGAATCTACGGTCAGCTGATGGTTGTTGGCTTCATTCACATGTCTGGTGGTTGACTGGCTATCACCTGGGGTGATGAGATAACTGGGCCATGTCTCATTATTCAGTAGGCTAGTCTGGACTTATTTATTTTTAATTTAAAAGAAAATGTTTTTATTGATTTCAGAGAGAGGAAGGGAGAGGAGAGAGAAACATCAATGATGAGAGAGAATCACTGATTGGCTGCCTCCTGCACGCCCTCTACTGGGGATCAAGCCCACAATCAGGGCATGTGCCCTGACCTGGAATCAAACCGTGACCTCCTGGTTCATAGGTTGATGCTCAACCACTGAGCAACACGGATTGGGCTGGAATTGTTTAAATCATGGAGGTCTCAGGATTCCCAAGAGAGCAAGTTCCAATTCACAAGCACTTTTCAAGTCTGCTTGTATATGGTAGCTACTATCCCATTGGCTAAAGCAAGTCACATGGCCAAACCCAACTGGATTCAAGGGATGGGGAAAAAGACGCCACCTCTTCGTGGGAGGAGCTAGAAAAGCACATTGCAAAGAAATGTGCATACAAGGATGGGAAGAATTTGTAACCATTTTGCCAACTACCACAGATGTCAAATTTCCAAAAGAGATTTATGGATTCAATATAATCACAATAAAACTTTAATGTGTTTTATTGTGGATCTCCATGAGAAAATCACTCTACCAGATATCAAGACATGCTATAAAGCTATGGTTTATGAGTGTGTTATTAGTGCAGAAATAGACAAATAGGTCAATGGAATGGAAAAGGGAGCCCAGAAACCTAGCCATGTATTAATAAACACTTGATTTATGACATATGGCATTATAGAGCTGTGAGGAAAGGATCACCTTTTTAACAACTGTGTTTAAAAGCTATCCTGACTAACATGCTAATTAAACCCAGCTCTATCTAGCTACAGAAGCCTAATGGGTGACCCTTTGTTCAAGATGTTTGCACTACTAGACTAGAAAGAGATGCAATTTCACTTTCTAGATCAAGTCTTTTTTTTAAAAAAATATATTTTATTGATTTTTTACAGAGAGGAAGGGAGAGAGATATAGAGTTAGAAACATCGATCAGCTGCTTCCTGCACACTCCCTACTGGGGATGTGCCCGCAACCAAGGTACATGCCCTTGACCGGAATCGAACCTGGGACCTTTCAGCCCACAGGCCGACGCTCTATCCACTGAGCCAAACCGGTTTCGGCCCTAGATCAAGTCTTTAGCTGAACGGCGTAGGAACCAGTGTAATTTCAGTATTTGCCCCTAATATTCACTTCCATAGAGATGCCCTCCTTACCTCATTCCTTTCATACCAGCTGACGTTCTGCATTTTGGAGAATTCCTGGGATCGCTTCACCACAAAGTAAATGAGGTACCCACTCCCACACAAACAGCAGATGATGAGGAAGTTGGCCAGGACGCGGAGAAATCTTGTCAGGTGAATATTTTCTTCTTTGTTACTTTCTTGTTCATCCACTATTGATTCCTTAATGTGTGAAAATGAGATGTGAATAATGGAGGGCCAGGAGCCAACAGGAACCATGGTTGGGTTCCTGGGATGACTCCTTTCTGGATTTCTATAAGTGAAGAAATACAGAGCGGTGATATTAAGCACTGTTGCCCTATGGAGAATTAGTTCTTTCCTTTAAGAAAACCCTGGCCAGTGTGGGTCAGTTGATTGAGCTTCATCGGGAGCACCAAAGGGTTGCCAGTTCAATTCCCAGTCAGGGCACATGCCCAGGGTGGGGTTCAGTCCCTAGTCGAGGTGCATATAAGAGGCAATCAGTTGATGTTTCTCTCACATTGATGTCTCTCTCTCTCTCTCTCTCTCTCTCTCTATCTCTCTCCCTCCCTCCCTCCCTCCCTCCCTCTGCCTTCCCCTCTCTCTAAAACAAATAAAACCATTTAAAAAAGAAAGGAAAAGAAAATACATTTTGCTGTTACTGTTATTCTGGTCCATGCAATGACAGAAGCTTAGATTTATTAAATAATTACCATGTACCAGATGTGTACACTTCCCATGCATTTTTCCTCTTAATCTCAACAACAAACCAATAGAGAAATTACTATTATTATCCATATCCCAGATACTAAGGATCAGAGAAATTCCAGTAACTGATTGGGATTGTTTTAAATTTATAGATCAAATAGATTAAAATTGATTCTTATTATTAAGTCTTTTAATCTAGAGGCTGGCTTTTTCTATAAAAAAGTTCTGGCCAAACTTTTTAAAAATAAAAATCCAGATAGGAAATCCTTTGGGCTTTGCAGGCCATGTGGTCTCTCACAACTGTTCAGCTATGCTTTGTAGCATGAAAGCAACCACAAAGAAGATATAAATATATGGGCATGGCTTTGTTTCAATAAAATCTTATTTACAAAAATAGGCAGCAGGCTGGATTTGAACCCTGGGCCATAGTTTGGTGACCCCTGTCCTAATCCATGCGGATGGTATATTTCTCCATTTATTTAGAGTTTTCAAATCTCTTTCAGCAATATTTTATACTTTTAGTGTAGCGATCTTCATTTTTTTTTGTTGTTAAACCTATGCCTAGGAATTTTTATAATTTATATAATATTATTAAAAATGGAATTTAAAATTATTTTTAATTGTTTTCTGCTAATGTATAAAAATACAATAGATTTTTTTATTATTAACCCTTTCTCCTGTACTCATAACTTTATGAAGACGCAATTAGTATATGGCAGACCAGGATGAAGAATGAAGTCTCTTAGATACAAAAGTACCTGGAAGGAGATTTTGGCAACTAATTTACAGTTACTGTGTTCAGGTTCAGGTTTAACTAACTCTTCAGGCAGTTAATATACATTAACACACACCATTCTCACAACATGTGCCCTGTTATGTAAGTGTATTAACTTGTTTTTCAATAGACTCAGAAGAGAAGTCTTCTCTTCCTCAGATGTTCAAAGTGCATTTTATTTTATTATTTAAACATTTAAAAATATATATATTTTTAATTGATTTTAGAAAGGAAGGGAGAGGGAGAGAGAGATAGAAACATCAACGATGAGAGAGAATCATTGATCAACTGCCTTCTGCACGCCCCCTACGGGGGATCGAGCCTGCAACCTAGGCATGTGCCCTTGACTGGAATCAACCGGGGATCCTTCAGTCCCTAGAGCCAAACTGGTTAGGGTGGCATTGACCTTCTTTGTCTCTTGCTGGTAGGCCAAGAGGAAGAGACAAAGGCCCTGTTGACTCCTACCCTGTCCTTGGATGCTCCATCAGAGGCCCCCCATTGCTGTGAGAAGAAGGGGTGGGGGGACTGAGTCAGCTCCCTCCTCTACCCACGGCCAAGCTGAAAGAACTCTGGGGCTCACGAAACCCATGTAAGTGAGTTGCTGAGCCCAAGCCCTGTCCCTGGTGGGTGTATCTGCCATCTGCAGGCATTGGTCAGCGGGCAGCAGCTTACTTCTCCTCCCAGGAAGTGTCAGGAGAGAGGAGATGGAAAAAGACAAAAACAAACAAACAAACAAACAAACAAGCACAGTTGTGTTATAAATCTGATTTCTGCCAGGCCCTGGGAGAAAGTTTGACTGATCAGACAGGAGAAATATTGAACTATCAATAACTCTGAATGGTTTTTACAGTCATGGAGAAAAAAATAAGCTGTACAGTGCTTCAGTGTTACAGCTTCTGCCATTGTTAATTTGGTTATCCTCCGGTTTATTTTTATATCTATAATAATAAAAGCATAATATGCAGATCGACTAAATGGCTGAACAGCAGAATGACGGTCCAGATGACCTTCTGGACGAAGCCGGGGCTGCGAAGGCCTACTCTTGCACGAATTTCATGCATCGGGACTCTAGTTATAAAATAAAAAGAGATGTGTAGGTCATCTCACATCTCCCTTGTGAACCAGTTAAGGTGATAATTAAGTGTGTAGTTGTAGACATAATTGATTCCTTTATTCCCATACTTCCAAACCAGGGTTCTCAAGTCTTTCTGGGTGTTCTAATCACTTAAGGCACTTAAAAAAATCCAATGCCAGAACCCTACCCCACACTTATCACACCAGAATCTCTTTGGGTGGGACTGAGAAGATTTTTAAAGCTCCTTAGGTGATTCAAACATGTGTAAAAGGTTGAGTAAGTCCACCCCAAGCACATCCTTTCATGTCCCTAAGCCGAAAACATTTCCACAAGGATATAGGCAGGACCAGGCCCCAACAAACATGATTCTCTGACATAGTAAGAAACAGATGGTGGGGAGCAGCTGTGAGCATTTTTCTTGAAGGCTTGATAGCTGGGCTCCTGCTGCTGGTAAAGTTCTTGCCACAGGTTACTTGGCGATCTTACTTGCCATGCCCCAGCTGGGAGAAGTCTCCCAATGACTGGAGGTACCCAAAGTCCCCCTAGGACAGTGGTTCTCAACCTTCCTAATGCCTCGACCCTTTAATACAGTTCCTCATGTTGTGGTGACCCCCAACCATAAAATTATTTTCGTTGCTACTTCATAACTGTAATTTTGCTACTGTTATGAATCGTAATGTAAATATCTGATATGCAGGATGCATTTTCATTGTTACAAATTGAACATAATTAAAGCATAGTGGTCAATCACAAAAACAATATGTAATTATATATGTGTTCTTAGGCAACCCCTGTGAAAGGGTCGTTCGACCCCCAAAGGGGTCACGACCCACAGGTTGAGAACCGCTGCCCTAGGAAGTGGGAACTGCCCAGGGTGGCTACCTTGAAGCTGGTGGTGATGGACACATATTTGTTGTCGGCCGTCTCTGAATTGCCGATCAGGTAGTCCCAGCTGGTGAACATCTTGAAGCTGAATGTGAAGTTATCACTCTCCCCCTCGCTGGTGCTGCCCTGGGTGTTGCTGGCCATCCTGTAGGGTGCACAGCACTGTTGTTATATCTGCCCTGTCTTTACTGTGTCAGCCCATGGGAACCTTGGCCTGAGCCATTCATGGGCACAGGTAGCAGACATCTGATGAAGGGAATGAACCATGCAGGTACTCAGGCCAAGAAAGATTTAATTGGGGCACTTCCCCTTCAAATTCAGAGTCCCTGTGAGCACCTATGGTGTCAGTTGTGTAATTAGAAGCCTGCAGGACACTTAACCATGCTTTTTGCCCCAATGTCTGATTTCCTATGGCTGGATTTGCCTGCAAATGTTTTAGAACTCTGTTCTCACAGAGAAATGGCCTCTTCTAATTTATCTAGTTTCTTCAATAGAAAATGTATTTTTTTTCTGATGTAAAATCCAGTAAGCTGAGACAGTTGGTACTGCACCCAGGTACACAGACATCCTTTTCTTAAAGCACCTTGGACCTGCCTTGTTACCCACATATTTCATCCCACCTATCTTCAACCGTTCTTTGTGGAGTCTCTCTGGGGGTCAGCTCTGTGGGAATCGAAAAATTCAGAGCAGCAGCTCTATCAGACACAGTGTGTGTGTGGGGGAGGAGAGCGTGTTGGGGGTGAGGGTGCACTCTCTCTAATTCTATCTTATGTGTTGGCTTTTGGGATTTGCTATTTTAGGGGCCTGGTCAGCTTAGTTAGCTTTTTGGTTCATCAGGGAAACATTTCATATCCTTATACTTATCTGGGATAATTGCAGGGAAAAACATAACCACATGAGGCTAAGAATAAACCCAAGCCTGTCTCCTTGTTTTTTTGTGTTTTTCCTCCCTGTTGCTTGATAGAGCTGGGCAGCCACATATCACCTCATGGTCACTGTTGTGTGCTGGGCAGGCTCTCATGAACGGCAGCATTTCCCTTTAAGGATTCTAACCAGGCTTGGAGTTCTCTACTCCTCTTCTCAGACTCAGCTACCCCTGCTCTTCTAGGAGAAGTGACCCTTTGTGGCCCTGCCGAAGGGTGGTGAGCCCTGGTGGTCAGGTGTACGAAGGCGACTGTGACACCCCACCCTTCACCAGCCTTTACTGATTGGGGTCCCCTGACTAAGAAGAAGCTAGTTCATGGGATGGGTCAAAATGTTCTTTAGAAAGTATGAATTAAGAACCACAGACATAATTAAGACAAAATTAAGAACCAAGTCCACTTCTGACTATTGAGACAGGTAGAGTTGGGGCCAATGTGGACACCATACGTTCATTTAGGCTTACTGTTTATCATAAAAGGCCTGTGGTCATGATGCTGTAATGGTGTCACAACCAAACCACCGGTCACCAGGAGGTGCATGGAGCACCTGTCGCGGGCTGGGACTCCCGGCTTGCGCAGTGAGGCGGGG